CCGATGTCAATATCTCAAACCGTTTCAAAATGGCGGCCGATTAAAGTTCAAGATGGCCGAAAATTGACACGGGCTGTTTGTCAAGGGATTTACGCGAAAACCGGAATCCAGAGGTATTTTGACACGAGAAAAACGAATTTAATGTTAGATTTTTTAGGAAACCAACATTCAAAATGACCGCCGGTTAAATTTCAAAATGGCCGAAAATTTTTTTTTAAGGAATCTATTTTCGAATGTATTAATCTCATGCCAGAATCCCCGAAGTTCCAAGTTTCAACAAATCCATCAGCAAAAACCTAAGTTGGCAATTTTAGGCCATTTTGAACTTGAACCGGCGGCCATTTTGGAAATTTCGGGTTTTTCGTTGAAAATCTAACGTCAAATTCGTTTCTCTCATGTTTAAGTATCCCTGAATACCGATTTTCGCGGAAATCCATGGAAAAACAACCAAGGTCAATTTTCGGTCATCTTGAACTTTAACCAGCCGCCATTTTGAAACGGTTTGAGATATTGACTTCGGGTTTGCGCGGGAAGTTTTTTGTTAAATGCTCTTTTAAACGAGGTATCACAAAGGGGTCTTCCCGTTTGAAAAAAAAGTTGGGGTCCGTTGCCTCCTCAAAGGGGCCCCCCTGAAAATTTTAGAGTGGCTAAAAAGTAGCTCCCTTTGACTTAAGAACATCCCTCAAGTTTCAAATCTTTACCTCATTTAGGTAAAAAGTTAGAGAAGGTGAAAGGGACTTTTGGATCACCCTGTATCTGATTGAATATAATATCCTCATTTCATTTTCTTTCCCTTTCATTTTTTCCTTTTTTGAAGCATTTGTGTCCATTTACAATTATTATTCTAAAATAGTTTTCCCTGGCATACAATAGATGCTTCAAACGGTACAAATTTCTTTAAATGATATTTCCGGCTGAATCATGGGTTTACCCAGGAAGGCAGCTTATCATCCCTCTCGGACTCTCCTGTTGCCAGATAAGTTGCTTTTTCAACTTTTTTCCCCGGTTCAAACCCATGTAAAATAATCATATTTATCGCACAATCTAGCAACCCTACCGGACTAGAATAAACAGTGGAATGAAGTGGAATCCCCCCCTTGAGTGTAATAGGTAAAGGTGGAATCAACTAGGAGGTGGAATCCTTCCACTCTTATATTAATGATAAATAATGTGTTACAAACTTATTTGAAAGTCATCAGTAGGTTTTTATGAACAATATTCTAAAAGTTTACCATCGTCCGACCCTCGAACACCCCTTTCCCCAAAGTGCCTAAAATTCAAAATGGCGGCCATACTGAGGCTTCTGGGATTTGGGTATTTTCAAATGTGCATACAGTGTCATGTGAGGTATCAATATCAGAGTAATTTCGGTCGTAGCTTTAATATTTGAAGTTAAAAAAGTCCCCCGGTCAAAAAGGGTGCCCTAAATCCAAGATGGCGGGTAAATTTGAAGGGCAGGAGGGTGCATTGTTCAAATTTTAACGAATAAGGCAAGTGATAAGTCTTTTTCCACGTACTTTTGGTCGTAAATTTCATATGAGAAGTCAAAACAGCCCTCCGGTCAAAGGGAGTGCCCCAAATTTAAAATGCCAACCAAATTTGAAAGGTAGGAAGGTGTCTTTTTAAATGGGAAAATCACGCGAGAAAGCAAGCGGGTATCAATTTCTACGTACTTTTAGTCAACGAATGTGGATGAGATGTAAAAAAAATATTACACACAATAATGAGACGTCACATTCAAAATGGTGATCACCATGCTGATAGGACCCTCTACCCCCCCCCCTCCACGGCTTAAAAAGTTTTGGGCTCACTTGCGAACTTAAATTTTGTAGGTGAATGTGATATCCTGAAAGATTCATGCCGTCTTTCAGAAATGCTTGATTGTTATGATTAACTGCTCCACTAAAAGAGCTTCAATTGGGAAAGTATTTTGTGGTGCTTAATTTTGTAACCTGTCTAGTGGTTCATTACGACAGGATTGAGTTCCTTGGTGAAATTAATGAGTCCTTTAACTCTACCAATAAATAGGACACTTCTACAGAGCAAACTTGACAAATTCGCTATTAATTAAATTATGGACCATGTATCGCCAAAAACTTTGACAGATCCACAATCCCTTTAATTCTAGTCAACTTTAATCATGAGATAAGCAAGCCATCTTGCAAGGCCAATTGCAGACAGTGATTGAACCAATCAGTTTCTTGTTCTTGGAATTCGAAAGAGGAGTATCTTTTTTTATGTTTCAATTTAACCCATAACTTTAATTGATTAAGAATTTTTTTAAAAAAAAGTCATCTTCATCAAGTCATCAGTGAAGCCAACATTAAATTTTGAATTCAGGAAATCAACCATCGAACTAGCTGCAAAGAGATTGATGATAAGTTAAATTACATTATTTTATTCATTCCTGTCGGTTGATGCAATTATCAATAACATGATTTGATGAAATTCTGATTCTGAGACAATTATTAAGGATAATTAGAAACTTTAAATCCAGCCCAACATTAATTTGGTTTTTGAGGTAGAGATCATACATAAATTACACTCTTCCTTTTTGTTTGAAGAATATTTTAACTTGTTCATTGTGATGATCAACGGAATTATTCCGTAAGATAAGCGACAACAGTAAATCATGTTCTCACCTTAACATGGAGGCAACATTTAAAGTAGGGTAGGATGGGGTCTGTCGGCCAGGATGGGTCACACCACCACTCGACCGTAGGGCCCCAAGCGGTGGTCACATTTTGAAATTCAAGGCATCGGAGTAAGCAGTTGGAAGAGCTCGTCTATTATACATTATGTCATGCATGGTTTGTTTGTTGATGAATAACTCGGAAACAAAAGAATGAATTTTGCTCCCGAGCGTATTTTTTCTTTTTTTTTGGAACTTATTTTCTTCACATATACAGTTCATTGACAGAAATTTAGTGAGAACATCATCTTAATCTACTCACTCTAGGCTACTACTTAAGTCCAATTTTTTTCTTTCGAAAAATCTTCATTTTCGTTATGTTAGGGGACAATTTTGTGAGGCGGAGTCAGGATGGGGTTGGACAGCCAGTGAGGCTGGGGGTCATTCCGCCAGTGGCATTTGCATGTAATTTACTTATGACAATATGATTCACGCATAAAGTACATGAACTTACACATAACTACACATGTACACTTGTCTTACAAGTGGGAAGGTCATTTTTAAACACACCAACGTTCTTTGGGTTGTACCACTTTTCTTTGAAGAAAAATAAATTTCCAAAATCTTAAAAATTATTGGACCATTAAAATAAACATTTAGTTCCTATAGTTACAGAATTTTTTTGTACCAAGTTCTGATTCAAGATGTATTCGTTCTGTTTCATTTATCTTGATTAGATCGTTCTTGTTGCATGCCTTTATTTGCAACTGGCAGACTGACCCTAGGCATGTCGCAGATTGACCCTACGTATGGGGTCATTCTGTTTTTTTCTTTTTTTTAAGATAAACACAAAATGAGGGGGAATACTTTACCATAGTGCTCAATTTTTTTCTGAACACAATCCACAGCCCTAGGATCACTCTTATGATTCAAACAAGTCCTACCATCGATTAGGGAAATTAGAAAAAATCATGAAACAAAAAAGAGGCGGACCGATCCCATCCTACCCTTCAAAACAGCATTTAACTATTTACTCAAAGAAAATAACCTTATGATTGTGTCTCCCGACCTTTGTTTACTTACTAAATCTACATCTCATTATGTCAGGAGCAGCGTCATTCTTGAAACAAATAAATATTGCACTAAGGACTAAGAGAAAGGGATTACATTACTCAGATTTTTCACCTCATCAATGGGAAGACCAGCAAATAAGAGCAAGATTGCAAGGTTACGCGCATAGACAAGAGACCCTCCACTAGTATCTTGGCCATGGTGGAAGCTTTTACTCTCGAGACTTCAGCATTCTACTGTTGACTTACCTACATGGTTGATGTTCAACAATGTGTTGGCAGTTTAATTTTGCAAAGAAGCCGAAAACGGCCGAAGTTTGGGAAACTTGTTTGGCTCATGACGTCACCTGAAGCTCATCATCCACCATATAGGTAGGTCAAAAGCCGAAAGTAGGGTGATGACTGTTGCTCCCTTATAATTGTCCATAAAGAATTGTTACGTCCCCAAAAGTAAAAGCTTCCACCTTTCGCCAAGAGGCCAGTGGAGGGTGTCTTGTCTCTGATTACGCGAGTCAAGAATGATAAGGAGTACATAATGAGGTTACACATAATGGGAGTGCCGCCTCTTTCCGATAAGCAGATTCGATTGGTGTAATATTTTACTTTTTACGCCTACAAATTTTCGCTGATATGTTGTGGGAAATGGCGTCAAACACTTGCGCGGATTCCCTTGTAATTAGAAACCTTGGAAGTTTGCAGATTTTGCATTTTGAAACCTGGAGAGTCATGACGATTTTGCGTTTAGAGCACAATTTCGCACCAGGGGCCCAATTTCGCGTTTTGAATTTAAAATAAAGGGATTGCCACAAATATTTGTATCTTGGTCCTACCTTAATACGAACAATGCCAAAATTTCGTGAAAAATAACGCAACTAGCGAACGCGAATTCTACGGGTCCTTACTGGTAACCTTAGATTAACCCTGATTGACAAGGTTTAAATAAATTATTAAAAAAATTTCTTTCTTCAGAAAGTTGGGAGTTCTTAAGTCTGGTTGATCGATAGCCGTTGAATGACTTGGGTCAACGTTTTTACTTTGCTTAGTTGAAGGGCCAATGGAACCGAAAGGTGACTGTTTCAGATTGAGGAAGTGGTTAACGTCAAAGTTTTTGGCGAATTGATTGTTTCCTTCCCTAGCTCTCGGAAGGTAGTGTTTTGCTACTTCAGTAGAGCTGTCTCTAGCATCTTTAGACAGAAAAAGAAAATGTGAGAAGTCTACAGAGTTGTTAATGTGGAGATTAGTGAAGGAGGGATCAAAGGAGGAAGAGTTTGGGGGCGAAAGTAGCGAATACTGCTCGCCTTGGTGTGTTCTGATGTGTTGATTCAGAATAGCTTTCTGACGGAATCTTTTGCCACATTCGATGCATCCAAAAGGCTTCTCACCAGAATGAATACGTAGGTGTTGATTGAGAATTGCTCGTTGGCGGAAAGTCCGCTCACAGTAAACACAAGCAAATGGCTTCTCGTTTGCATGAATGCGCAAATGTTGTGTAAGGTGTGACTGCTGACGGAACCGTTTCCCACACTCGTTGCAACCATACGGCCTTGCATCTGTATGAATCCGTTCATGTTGAAACAATGTTGATTTTTGCTTGAAGTCTTTCCCGCAAGTTGCACATTTAAAGAGTCGTACATCATTGGAAATTTTATTCGGCTGCTTAGATCCTAAGCTGCTAGAATGATTGAGAAGATCTGGCAAGTTGGAAAAGTCTCCACCTGCTTCCGAGGGATTAATAGGGGTGAGCATGATGCCTGGTTGCTTTAGGTATGATATGAAGCTCCCAGGACTGAGAATTGTTGAGCCACGAGCAGAATACATGTCGTATTGTTGCTGTTGATGTTGTGTTTCCGAATCATCTGGCAAATTATCATGTGTTTGAGTACTTGCATCTTCTTCATTTGAGCCTGCCAAAAATACAAAAAAAAAAACAGTGATTTGTCCAGATACGAGCAATAGTTGATCCGAACTGAAACAGATGCGCATACTTGCCTGTGAAGTGAGTTCAAGAGAAGGGATTAAGAAGCAATGCCAAGTTCTTTCAAGTGCAATGTTTGCAAGCTTGAAAGTATAATGAGCTTGTAAATCTATCACTGATTCTTGCAATTTTAGAAATAACAGTGTCAGCTAGTTGCTGACGGTAACCCTAAAATCGAAAATAAGATAGTATTAAAAATTGAAGCGGGAAGGTATGAGCAGCGAAATGGCTCTGTCCTGAATGAAAAATTAGCAAAACAGGGTGTCTACTCAAACAGGTGGGTCAAAAGTCAGTACTTTTACAGTACTTTTTCAGTGCATTCCCAAAAAATTCAGTACCTCTTCAACGAAAAATTCAGAACTTTTTCAGTACCTCCATTCGACGAAATTCGAAAAATTTCAAACATTTGAATTTCTCGCTCAAATTGAGACAAAAATGACCAAAAAATGAAAAAAATTCCGGACCTTTTGCGGAATTTCCGCACTTTTTCAATACTTCCGGACCCCCCTTAAAAAATCGGTACTATTTCCGGACTTTCCTGAAATTCCGGACTTGTAGACACCCTGCAAAATCGGCAGAGATATGAAAGATTGTAAGTCTGACTGAAGACGTCATGCGCTCCCATTGCGGTTCACACGCACACAACTCGAAGTCTGGCGCGTTCGCTGTCTGGCGCCGCGCAGTTGCCTTAATGGCCACCTAAGCAAGGAAAGAAGAGTCGGCTGGGAACGAGCGAGATCGGGGCAAACTAATAACTTGTCGCGAACACGCGTTGGCCGCTTGACATCGGAGACAGAATGCAGAGTGCTGTCTGCCAAGTGCGAGACGGAGCTCATGACGTCACGCGCTCAGCTTTTTTTTTTCGGGATAGCGGCTCAACAAATGCAGATATTCGCAAACGGATTTCGGCATCGTCCATTGCACACTTTTCTTCGTAGATTTAGACGAACTTCTTTGTAAGGTTGCCGTCCCATTTAAGAATTTTTGGGGAAATGTGTCCTTCCAAAAACGCCTGCAAGGTTCTGTTTGAACTAGGAAGCTGAAAGGTATGCATTCATAAATAAAGGAATGACCCATAAAATATGTTGAAGTGCAAGTTGGCAATGCAGTGTAAAACTGTTAAGTTGGTAGTACGGAGTACTAACCTAGTCGTGTGAGACTGCGTGCTGTAGCGTAGTCAGGTCTCTTCTTACATAATGTGATAACTAGAATAAATCACTGTTCGGTCATCTTAACTCTCTTCAATGCCTTCCTTTTTATATATTATCCACTGCTTTAATTAAGCTACCTCAACAGGTTATGTGCCCTTATAAGTAAAATTTACGCGTTGTTCAGTTTTCGATCGCGAGTTTGTTTTTTCGTTCCGTCGCCGTATCATGTCCGTGAGCCTACACCTCGTGCCGCGTACCGGTCCTGAAGCAGATTTCTTCAGAAAATACGGAAAAATCTTCTATGACGACTGACGACGACGATCAATCAGTGGAATCAACTTTGGAGGATCAATCGGAAACCAACGACAAGCTGCCTGCATCACAGCCTCAGCAAACTTCTGACTCCACTATGGCTGCTGGAGCGGCTCCCTTGCCCACCTTCCAGAAACTCAAAGGCCAAGAAAATTGGTCAACTTGGAAGTTCCAGATGTTCAATTTCCTAAACTATGATGATCTCTGGGATGTAACAGATCCTACACAAGAAGGTAATGATTCACTTTCTAACAACTCAGCTACCAAACTGAAACAACGGAAGGCTTCAGCAAAGATTAATCTCATGATCGAACCATGTTGCATTGTGCATGTTCGCAATACTGAAACCCCCAGTCAAGCATGGCAAAAACTTCAAAAAGCCTATGAAAGCTCTGGTCTATCTCGTCGTTTAAGGTTGTTAAGAAACCTCTTCAATGTTCGTCTTGAAAATTTCCCCACTATGACGGATTATATTTCAGAAGTTTTAAATTTGTCTCAACAACTGAACGACATCAGTGCCCCACTCGATGATGAATTTATCGGTGTTATTCTTCTTAGTGGTTTAACTGCAGATTTTGATGCAATGGTCCTAGCTCTAGAGCATTCTCAGACTAAAATCACGTCTGACCTTATCAAGAGTAAGCTTCTAGACCATGCCGATAAGAAAGTAGAAGAAAATGCGCAAGCCTTCTTCACTGGTAAACGACCCTACAAAACTATTAGATGTAATTATTGTGGTTTATTAGGTCATCGCACTGTTAACTGCCGTAAGAAACCCAAAGGAAATGGTGAGTCAAACACATCCACTAACAATGCCTCAGCATCATCCTCATCTCATTCTAATGGCAAAGACTCAGACATAAAAACAAATCAACAACATGGGAAAAAGAAACCTAAACACTCTTTTTTCACAGCACTAGCATCTTTTAATTTTAGTTGTAATGAATGGTTTCTAGACTCTGGCGCCAGCAAGCAGCATATGACATGCTATCGTGAGATCCTCACTGAATTTCAAACTTTACCACCAGAATGTATCACTACTGCCAGTAACACGGTCATTAAATCACAAGGTCAAGGTAATTGTTTGATTAAGTTGCAAGGATCCACAGAACCGATTGAAGTTCATGATGTGTTGTATGTGCCTGATTTAACTGTCAATTTGTTATCTGTAAGCCGATTAATCTCCAAAGGTTTATCTGTCCTCTTTGATGATGAAGGAGGAACAATCATCAATTCTGATGGAGATATTATTGCAACAGCATCTCTATTTCATGGTGTTTATAAATTAGATGTTCAATCCAATGAGTTTCCTCAACAGCAAACTGAAGTTTCCTTTACTTCAGCAAACTTAGCGTTGCAGGACAACCAAACCTTATGGCATCGCAAACTTGGTCACTTAAATATGCGCTCCATGAATCTTCTTAAAAATAGTCTAGCTGATAGCATCACATATCAAAACTCTCGAGTAAACAAACCGTGCGCACAGTGTGTTCTAGGAAAACAAACATCATTGCCCTTCGGCAAATCTTCTTCTCGAGCCAAAGCCAAATTAGAAATTATTCATACTGATTTGTGTGGCCCAATGCCTGTACCGTCACACAATGGAGCAAAGTACATTCTAACTTTTACTGATGACTTTACTCGAAAAACCTGGGTATATTTTCTCAAAGCTAAAAGTGAAGTATTTAACAAATTTCGAATCTTCCAAAACTTAGTTGAGAAACAATCAGATCGATCCATTAAATGCCTACGTTCTGATAATGGCAAAGAATACGATAATTCTAAATTTCATAATTTTTTCGATGATATAGGTGTTCGCCATTAAACTACTGTTGATTACACTCCTCAGCAGAATGGAGTCGCAGAAAGGGTGAATCGCACGCTACTCGAAAAAGCCAGATGTATGCTGTTTGATGCAAATCTTCCAAAATCGTATTGGGCAGAAGCAGTAAATCATGCTGCATTTCTCAAGAATCGATCTCCAAGCAGAGCAATTCCAGACCATACACCAGAAGAAATGTGGTCAGGTGAGCGCACAAATTTAGTGAATCTCAAAATTTTTGGCTGCAAAGCATATTGTCACTTACCCAAAGTTAAAAGAAACAAACTAGATGCTAAAAGTAAAATCATGATTTTTGTTGGTTTTTGCGAGAATAGTAAAGCCTATAGACTTATCGACCCGCAAAATCCTACAGTCTTTACAAAAGCTAGAGACGTCATATTTGATGAAACCTCATTTTTAAATAAAGATCCATCACTCAACTACAACAATGAACCGCAATTCTTTTCCAGCACATCTACAAATGATTCTCAAACACTCAGTGAACAAAATGATGTCGCATCTACAAGCAAACAGACATCACAATCTACAAAAGAATCTCAAACAAAGAATAAACCAATCACAAATAAATCAAAAATACAAATTGAACAAGTTACAAATCTGGCAGAAAATTCAAACAAAATGAAATCTACATCTTTTGAAGAAACTGCTGATCTCACAGAAGAAGATGAAGAGGATATCAGTTCATCAGAAAACAGCTCACATGAAGAATCGTACGAGTCTATTAATTCTGACCAAATCACAACCGTTATTTCAGAATTATTACCAGATTCTCAAGCTGTTCAACCGCAATTAACTTCAGAAACTGATGTCCAAGAACGCCCTACGCGACCTCACAATCTTCCTGCCTGGACTGCTGATTACAAACTTTGGCAAGCTTTAATTCATCCTAACAACCAAGAAATACCCGACACACCTAAACAAGCTCTAAAAGATCCTGAATGGAAACAAGCCATGGAAAAAGAACTACAATCCTTCGAAAACAACAATGCGTGGGAAATCGTAGATAAACCCCATGACCAAAAGCTTTTAGAGACTAAATGGGTTTTCAAAACTAAAATTAATCCAAGTGATCATCATCAAATAAACAAAGCAAGGCTAGTAATTAAAGGTTGTGCACAACGCTACGGTATAGACTATTTAGAAACGTTTTCACCTGTGGTAAGGCACTCTACACTAAGACTACTATTTGCTTTATCTGTACACTTCAATTTAAATTGTTATCATTTTGATGCCATGAATGCATTTCTCCACGGAGAACTAAATGAACAAATTTATGTGAAACCGCCAGAAGGTCTCATTCTTCCTGAAAACAAAGTGTTACGCCTCAAGAAAGCTGTTTACGGTCTAAAACAAGCACCTCGTTCTTGGAACTCACAAGTAAACTCAGTTCTCATCAATAGTAATTATCAACGCTCTAAACATGAACCGTGTGTCTATTATAAAAGACACGACAAAAAATTAACAATTATTGCAGTTTTTGTTGATGACTTCTTCACGTTTAGTAATGATCAGGAAGAAACTAAATTCTTGAAGAAAAAACTGTTCAAATCTTTCAACCTTAAAGACTTAGGAAAAATATCTAATTGTCTAGGTATGGCTGTCACTCAAAATGAAAAATCTAGA